GCGGCGCGCCGCGCCGCGCCTACGGGCGCGACGGCGACGTCGTGCGTCGCGCCGACGGCCGCGTGCAGCTCCGCGATCGCGTCGTCGTCGTAGCGCGGCAGCCGCGCGTAGGCGTGGGCGCAGAAGAGGATCGGGGTCGCGTCCGCGCCGCGGACGGCGTCGATCCACTTCGCGGCGTGCGCCGCGAAGCTCTCGGCGGTCGTCTCCGGCAGGTCGTCCTGCAGGACGACGTAGTCGAAGCCGCCGCCGTTGAGCCCGTCGGCGCGGCCGGCGCGCCAGTGGCTCTCGAGCGTCGCGCCGCCCTCGACGATCGTCTGCGTCGTCGCGCCGGGCGCGAGGCCGCGCACCATCGTGTCGACGCCGCGGTTCCAGTAGGTGAGGCTGTTGCCGACGAAGCAGAGGCTCTTGGCCCGCATGCGCGCCTCCAAGGCCTCGAAGGCGCTGTCCGGGATGCCCGCCGGCGGGAACGCGCTCATGCGCGGCGCGGCGGCGGCGCTAGGAGTATTTGCCACAGGAAGCCCTCTCCTCGGCCGGCGGGAAGGCGCTCATGCGCTGCTCAAGCCTGTGGCAAAACGCTCTCCATCGCATGCGCAAAAACTTCCAAGGAGAGCATCCATGGAGCCTCCGCTCGCGGCCGACGCCGCCGCCGAGAGTCCCGCGCCCGATGCGCCGATGGACGTGGACGCGTTGAAGCGGCGCGTCGCATCGCTGCGCGACGAGGTCCGCGGCTGCGCCGCGCACGAGGTGGGCAAGGCCCACGCCGCGCTCCAGGCCGGCGGCGACCTCGTGCGCGGCGCGCTCGGCGCGTCGCCGTCGGCGGCCGTCGTCGACGGCGTCTGGGAGCGCTGGGTGCGGTTCCTGCTCCGCGAGGGCGCGCCGGCCTGGGAGCGGAGCCTGGGCGAGGACGCGCGCGCGGCGTGCGTCGACGACCTCCTCGCGCTCGACGGCGCCGTCAAACCGTGGCGCGTCGCCGCGGCCGTCGCCGAGGCGCTCGTCGACGGCGCGGACCCCTACGCCGCGCGCGTCGCCGGCCGCGTCGCCCGGCGCTGGTGCGCGCGCGACGCGGCGGAGCGCCTCGTCGCGTCGCTCCGCGCGGACGCGGCCGACGCGGCGGCCGTCGAGCGCGCCGTCGACGCGTTGACGCGGCTGCCGGCGCGGCTCGGCGCCCTGGGCCGCCGGAGCCCGCTGGAGCCCGACGCCTGGTTCGCGCACCTCGCCGCCGCCGCCGTGGGCGAGGGCGGGGCCGCGTGGCCCGCGCTCGCGACGCGCCTCGACCAGGGCAGGACAAGAGAGCGAAATTCCCAACTTCAAAGCCTCATATCTCGGCCGTTTCCCACTCGTTTCGGCTGATTTTTGGACGAGCGATCATCTCTCGGAACGCTCTCGAAGCGTGGATGCTTTTTCCGGAACGCGCGCGCGCGGAACACTCACGTTGAAGAGACGTTGAATCTCTCTTTTCCTGCCCAGGCCTCGACCGCCTCGGGCGGACGGCGGACGCGGCGCGCGCCTGGGTCGCGGCGCGCGGGAGCGACGACGGGTCGCGGCTCGAGGCCCTCGGCGCGGGCGTCGCGGGCCGCTACGTGCCGGCGCTCCTGGGCGCCTGCTGCGTCTTGCCGGGCCCCGAGGCGGCCGACGCCGCGCGGAAAATCGTCGGCCCGCGCCTCGCGACGTGCTCCGTGGCGCGGGCGCTCTTCGCCGGGTCCCTGGCGCTCGGCCGCGTGCCGCCGAACACGCCGCGGCGCGCCGCGGCGCTCGTCGCGCG